CTACAAAGGGATTTTGATTATATCTGTATTTAAGTCTTTGTTGTATAAAGTTCAGGCTCTAGGTTCTGATCAGTCTTATCTTCAGGCATTTTGGTCATCTACGTTGCTAAGTGACAATCTATTTTGAACTCTATTTTTATTATAGCGTCCATTCATCTCCAATATATTATTACGTTTTTATATTAATTATAAACTTATTTTTCATGTTATCATCTTTATTCACTTTTTCCCATGCTTATTTAGCATAATCGGCTCGACTTGATCTGTCGAGCCCACCAGCTTGTGATGGAAGGATATCGATGGCATTTCACTGAAAGTGTTTTGACCGTTTGGTCGGCTCCCAACTATTGCTATCGCTGTGGCAATGTCGCTGCCATCCTACGGTTGGACGAGAAGTTGAATAAACAATTCTCGATATTTGATGCAGCCCCTCAGGTTAGTCTGCTGGCTACTTCGTTTTTCTTACTGCTTTATTAATCGTTACTTTCGCATATTTACATTGTATGAGTGTTTTTTGGATGCGTTTGAGTATCTTCAAATATAAGAAATATTTCATTCTCGCTTTTGAAGGATATAACTTAATTGATTTATTAAGATGGGGATTGCAATTTTCCACAGTCTCTGACAAACGTATAAAATCTGTTGACCTTGCTGTTTATTGGCTATCTGTTTATTTCAGTCAATCGAACTATCTTGCATCATGTGTTTGTTTCGTTTTCATTAGCTGGCATTCTTGCTCATCAGCTGTTCATATATCCTTCTCTTTATTTTCTATGTAGAAATGGGAATTCATCAATGCGGTTTTGTTATTTAAAATAATAATGGCGAAATAAAAAATTGAGCTCCGTGTTCGGCTGGGTCTGAAGCAATATAAAATTAATTTTTATATATCAGGGAAAGGAATTGCCTGAATTGCTTATGCTATTTCACTCCAAAGGCCCATCATTTTCAACGTCAACATCAATACATTATTATTTTTATCTATATAGGCAGCTATAAAAATTACTCATGAAACTCCAACAACCTTGCACTGCTTTATTGTTGTAATTATAGTTCTCTCAAACACTTAGAAATCCGGTATCTATTGAGGCACTTAAAAAAGTGATATATCATTACATTATATTATGTAAATAGTTTGCTTTTGATGTGCATGCCATTTTCCATTCTTATTCCCACTTATTGCCACATTTGGCGTCAATTGTGTATTCATTTATATATTTACTTGCATAATCTGTTTTGAGCGATATTAAAGCCATATTTTTATTCTGTTAAGTATGTATGATATACTGCCAAAGCTTCCTAATATTAATTTATCCTTTTTGCTTTTTAGGATGTACGTAATATCCCTGCCAGAAAACCTGTTCCTGATTATTTTCTTTAGAAGATTTCTGTTCTCTATCATCGTTCACCTTATACATCCTACTATTTCTATGTTCTCTTGTTTTTACCTTACATTGCCTACTTTGTATGCGTTTCATCTCCCTTGTATTTCTTCACACTCCTCCCTATAATGCCCTCTTTATTAGAAGAGATTCAGTTTGTCGCAGCCTGAACTTTTCGGACCAAAGAATTT